CACAAGTACTGAGGAGAGAAGGGGAAGTTGGCCACAAGTACTGAGGAGAGAAGGGGGAGTTGGCCAGAAGTACTGAGGAGAGAAGGGGGAGTTGGCCACAAGTACTGAGGAGAGAAGGGGAAGTTGGCCCAGAAGTACTGAGGAGAGAAGGGGGAGTTGGCCACAAGTACTGAGGAGAGAAGGGGGAGTTGGCCACAAATACTGAGGAGAGAAGGGGGAATTGGCCACAAGTTCTGAAAAGGGGGGCACAAGTACTGAGGAGAGAAGGGGGAGGGGTTAAGAAGAAGGGAAGAAGAGAGGCATACAACTGCTCACCTTCCATCAGCTCCATGCTCATCCCCTCCACAAAATCCTCCCACCACTTGGTCTTGCTGCTGGAGCGGCCCGACCAATCGCTGGGATCAAACTTTGTGAGCCGGGATGCCAGGTACATGAGAGACACTGCAATGATCTCTGGCTCCCACTGCAGGCTCAGGGTGGTGCACAGGCTGGAGAGACCAACAGAAGACATGAATCCTTTTCCGTAAAACTACTAATAATTTTGTGTCTTTTAAAACTGAGTTTAACATCCATTCCAGCAATGTGATGTACGGGCTTCCATCTGTTAAAAAGAATTATTTTATTTCTTGGCCTGGTTCAATTTCGTTTTTGTTTCTTACAGTATGAATGTTTCAAGGCAAACCTGACTTTAATTTATGGGCAGCAACTTAGGATTTAATCTGAACAGTCTATTTCCTTTGCTAGGTTGATCTGTTTACCTGGTGTCCTTTCATTGAGGATATATATATATAAGTTAATTATTAAGTCCAGATGTACTATGTCTGTCAGTAGCTATCTGTGGACAAGCTCAATTTAGAATAGGGAGTAAAAAAAGTGCCGTAGATGATTTGCACTTTTAACCTGCTACACAAACAGGACTCAAGAATATTTTTTAATGCTGTTAATGCTCACATGTGGTGGGAGCTTTGGTAAAAACTAATGCAAAATCAAAGAGACGGAAATCTCAATTCATTTAATTTACCCTGATAGGACAGATGATCACTTTTTTGTAATAAAAAGATTAAAAAAGCAAGAAATATCACCTGTCATTAATAAAAGTCCAAGCCATCTGAGCCATTTTCTGCGTCTTTTCCTTCTCTCCTGGAGGAAAAAAAAAGCCAACAGATAAAAAAAAAAAAGCAGTTGTAACTACTTTGAGAGTAATATAAAACTTGCAGAGCTTAGACAAGTAGCAGGCATTGTCAGCTGGCACACAAATCATTCTCATACCAAATATCAAATATCGAAGCAGAACTCATTGCACCTAGGTCATCAGACGGGGAGAAAATTTGGTTAAGGTCCACAAGGGTTCAGAGAAATGACAATGGGAGGGTGTACTATTTCCACAACCTGGTTATTAAAAGAATTGTTTCCACCACAGTTTGTTTGAGCATTCCTACGCACACTCGAAAGCTCTCAGACAGTCAGCCTTTACCCAGTATAAAGATCTCACACAATCAGCAGATAGACTTACTATACAGTTTGAAGTTCCTAAATGAAGGGCTAGGAGTTGGGCGGACTGGGAGTGTATGATACTGGTTAATTAATCTCAAAGCTGTAAGAGCTTAGATTTTAAAAGAAAGAAATAGAAAAATAATCCAGAATTTACAAAATAGTTCAAGCAATCAGAATGACAGGTGAGCCTTGATCATTATAACAGAAAAAACTAAGTACCATTGAAGGGAAGCATTTGGAAAAAACATCTGATATTCAGACCTGCCACTCTATGAACTCTAAAGATAAGGATTTCATAGTAAAAAAATCAGGATCTGGTGAAAAAAATCGGGATCAACGGTAAATCAAGTCATAAGGTGCACTCTGGATGGGGGAGGGGGG